AACGCTTTTCTTTCTCTCTCACACTCCCGTCTGTGGTGCCGCGATTTGTATTGTTCGGCCTGCGGTGTGGTGTGCTCCGTTTACAAGAGGTCTGCCTGTTTAGAGAGGAAAAACGAACGTGAAAACAACCAGGAGTGGTGTGTATTCAGTGCCGGCTGAATCGGCGTCCGCGCCCCGACGCCGCCGTTGACGTACGATTCACTAATTTTTCAACAACACATCATCGAAATTCTACGAATCTGCTCCAAAATAGCCTCGTTTACTGGATAGTGCGTGCTAAAGAGTGTGTGTTCAATTTTTCGTTCGCGTTGTTGGTGTACCACGGGGTTAACGGTGAATCTCTCGAAGGTGACGCGCCGTGCCGAGGGTACCTTGGAGACGGTGGAGAGTTTCGGTGTAGGGTACGGCCAGGGAGCAGGCACGAGTACAGGCGACTGGATGAAACCACCGGGGGATCTTTTTCTTTACTGCGACATGAAGGATTTGGGGGCCGATATGGTATTTATTTTCGTTCAATTTAACCTTTTTTTTTTCAAAGTAACGTTTCTTTTTTCTTCGACGCAATAAAAGTTCCGAACATTGCGAATTTATAGGTTAGGTTTGTTCCAAAGATTTTTATTCTACAATGGAAACCTCCATGTTTATAGGGGACGAAGTTTCAGGAGGGGGACAACTCGATTCGCTCGTAGAAATCATTGATGTTACTCGTGTATTCTAATTTGCATAAATACGTAAATAATAAATGGCAGAAAATATTGATAAATTTGCGTTTCTATACCATGAGGGTATTTTATAACTTTCTGATCATCTTATACATAATGAATATAACGATTAATGTGTAACGGTGTATTTTTATTTCGCATCTCTTTCTTATTGGCGTTGTTTTTTTTTCGTTTTTTTTTTTTAAATAATTCAATTAATATTAAAAAATTATGATCTTTTGTTTTCATTGTATTTTATATTATAATACTAAAATAATATAATGTGAATATTGAATATATTTTGTTCGTTTTTCGACAGGTTCAAAATATTCTTTTATTCCGAAAGTTAATAAAATTATATTTTCATTGTTATTTGTGCAATAATTAGATTAACTATTACTATTTTTTTATAGTATTAAACATTCGATTTTTGTATAATATATTGAATTTTAAGATGATATTTTCTTAAATTTATATTCAATTCTTAAAAAAAAATATAGTTTTAATTATTTCCATTTCAATTTTTAATCTTATTATTATATAGTATATAGTATATATAGTAGTATATATAGTATATATAGTAGTATATATAGTAGTAACAGTATTTTATCAATACTGTTTCATAGTAAAATTTTTTATTCTAGATTTATTTACTACTTGTAACTTGTAAACAATATTTAAATCAATAGTTCTATTTAGAACGAACAAATTAACAATTAATAATATGTAATATATAATAATATGTATTAGAAAAACACTTTTGCATATTGCAATATTAAATTGTATTAATACCAAAATTAAATTTTGTATTGATTTTAATTTGTTTACTAAAATAATTGTAATATATGCGTATTCTATTGTGTAATAATCATAGTACATATAATTTTTTGAAACTATTCACTTGAAGTTATTTCTATTATTAGATACTAGAAAAGAATGGATTATCTGAATCGTGAGGAGAATATTCGTATGAACATGTTCTCACATGAAGGTATTCGATAGTTATTCAGCCAATCAGGTCTCCGAACTCGCTTAACCTTGTAATGTAACAACGAATCCATTAGCATTGCCTTGTACCTTAATGATAGAAAGATGATTTTCAAATTATATATTTTTTAATCGGAATTAAATGAATTGAATTTTAATCAAATTTATTACAAAATATGAGTAAATAATTTAAGAATCTTAATGAAAATAGGCTTTCTTGTTATAAAAGAGTAGGAAAAAATTTTCAATATTATGATAGCTGTACATTTGAATCCATGATATATAGTGACATATTTTAACCATAGAAAAAATATATTCAAGTTAAGTCCTTGCTCCTCCAACCATTTCTTCATTGTTTACGTCTATCTATAGTAAAATGCTCATAGTTCTGTTCTTCTTTTTTCTCTTTCTTTCCTTGTATTCTCTGTCTTTTATACGTAAACAAGTAAAGCAGAGGTACGAGAGAGTGTTCGCCTTGTTTTAGGTTAATGTACTTTCGCACGAACTCTTGATAGGATTGTATAATATAAAAACGCATTTTGTTATCTGGAATTTTAATTTGTCTGATCTAATAATCAATCAATTTCTTCATTTTGTTTATTTTAAAAATGTTATATTTTTGTTTACTGTTTGTTACTTTCTTGTTCTTTTTTTCTTTATGTTGTTTGGACGAGTGCCATTTAAATTTATACGGCTTTATATTTTGCATGTTTCCCCTTGCTTGTGGTTCCCCCTTTGAGTGCACTAATCGATTGAAACACTGTCAGGGTTCTTTCTGAACGATCGTAATACATGTGAACAGTGCGTATGCCGAAAAACTCAATGAAAATTTTTATTGAATATATAATTCATCTATCATTTATGATTTGCAATTTGTAAATAAAGATTTTTAACGATTTTTTTTTTTGTAATTTTAATATCTATGAATATAATGATCTATTTTATTGTTAATTACTGTAGATAATTTTATAATTATTTTTTATTTTATGTCATAGTAAAATATTATTATTAGTATTTCTTTTTATTTTATGATTGGAACATTTCATTCCAGTTGCATCGAATGTTTTTATTTGATTTACCGACTGAGGTACCAATTCCAACGAGTTCCCTTCGAAACGTGTACATTAACGATGCTGTATTGATAAAATTGTAAAAGATAAATACATTTATCCGCAAATCAAATGTACTATACTATGCTTTTCTTGGATATAAACGGTAAATATGCCTGGAGGGATATTGATTTGCGTGAGTCATTCTATCTTTTCTAGTTGTTTCGAGGTTCAGGGTTGACCTTACCTACTACAAAATGTTTTCAATTACTTCGTTATTAGTATTGTTGATTTTCGATCGTACGCAAAATTTGAATAATTTGGGAACTTCTAAAAATGTCATAAAAATTTATAGATGATATGTTTTACGATGTAACATGTTCCAAGGAAAGTTGGAAGTGTAATCCTCACCAATTATGGATGTACTCACCATAAAATATTACATATAATGTTACAAGATAAAAATATCGGATTGTCACCTCATTGCAACGAACTTTCTCTTCTCTTCGAGCGACGGTAACAGATACTTACGAATAGTTATGCAGTTAACGCCCACGATTCGCAAATCTCTTCACGATAATCGTTACACAAGATCAGTGATGCTCTTCAATTATGTTGCATCCGTGTTTCTTATCTATGACATGTTAACATTTCATAGAAGAAAAAAAAACAGAAGAGAAATAATCTTACAAAAGAAATCGATTCAAAAGACATAGATCAAAAGACAAGAATTTTTCGTTTTATCTTTGCCAACAAGTGGTCACAGTTTCTTTTTTATCAAAATTCTTTTTTTGAACTAAGTGGCGCTTCGAGATTCTCATGTAAACTCAATATTTCCTCGCGAATGGTAGGAATTCTCGGAAAAAGTAAACAACCGCCAATGAAATATTCGGACTTGAATTACGGCCAACATCATGGTTGACTACGTTGACCGGTAAAGACAGGACTGGTATAAGAAACTACTCCTACACGCGTGCATTATCGTATTCTATTCGCGATAAAAGAAGAGTGAAACCAGTTTCCGATTTCTTAAATGACGTCATCATCGAAAGAAATATCCTACAGTATACAAATAAAGTATTAAAGGATAATAATCGGTTTTTTTCGAAATTAACATAAATTAAATGAGAATGCCCGTAATCGAATGATAGTTAAGAGAAATGTTTATTGACATCGGCTTATATGTCAGTGAACTTATTCAAAGCGTCATCGATAATCGATAATTTGTTCCTGATTGGAGATTTAGAGCGAAGCAACTTACTTGTTATTATTCAGAAGTAACGTATAAAGGAACAGTGTTGCGTATACCTATTGTTTCAATTTCAATGGTATTTCTATTCCTTCTTATTTAAATTCAGAAAAGTTCATATTCTAATGAAAAATTATTTATGAACATTAATGAAAATGTTAATTATTTTATATCTTTGGTCAAAAGCAAAAATTGCTTTAAATATTTTTTGATTTTAAATATGTATATCAAGCTAATTTTTATACTAATAGTCGATGTAATCGTTTCATATCGTATAATCCATTTTTTTAATTATGTATTTTCACTTGATAGAACTTAAAGTCTAAATTAAATGATTTTCATGAAATCTTTGTATGTCTTTAAATTTTTTTAAATTTAACTCGTTTTCTTTTCTAAATTGATTTGAATAGAAGTCTACTATTACTCTCTTCATTATCATATCAAGACTATAAAGAACCGTAATGTGTAAATTTGTATATAGAAGGGCAGTATGATTTGATCAATAATGAGTACAAATTTTGTAATGTTTTTTTCTCGCGTCATACGAACGCTTACCTCTTCGCATAATATTCTATCGTTTATGCCGTAAAGTGACGTATCGCGTCGTGACTTGTAGTGACGTGACGCGCATGTCGTTGAACCTAAACGCATCGGTTACGCTTGCAGATTCGTCATCGAGAAGAGCAGAAAAAGTAGGAGAAATTTATTTTCACATATCATCTCGCATAATCAAAATTGCATTAATTCATATCATAATGTCAAAACATCGATTATCGTATTTTGTTTTCTATTTTTCTATGATTATGTATTAAGATTATTTATGTAACATTTTTACGAACATCTTCAAACATATCCCTTTAAAAATTTCGTTTTAACGAATTTTTGTTTTCTCTATTAGAAATGATTGATGAACTATAATAATAAAAGTGTAGTACTAATTTCCAAATTTTAAAAATTAAATGAAAATAACAAAATGCAAAAAAAAACAACCCCTATTACGCGTCCCTAATATATGTTTACTGCGCACGCATTTAGCTCACGCAGGCGCACGCATACGCATAAACCATCGGAGAAAGAGTCGGAAAGGGGTAGAGAGGAGGTCGAAGGAAAGATGAAGAAAGAGAGAGAACAACAGGGTTCGCCTCCCTCGTGCTGCTGATTCTCTGCGAGGACAGTGGCCGTGACCCGAGGCCGAGGGGCCTGGGGAGGGGTCGGTGGCCCCGTGGCAGTTTAGCGACGACATCCACGCTGCCGTTCTACTGGTGGGGGAACCTCGTGGGTGTGCGGGGTGGGTAGGGAGAAGTTGGCTGCCTTTATGGTGGGGGTTTGCTGTGTAGCCGTATGGTGGGGTATAGCTTAGGGGTATACCCAGCTATCGTTGGCTTTGTTCAATGAAAGAGAGATCCAGTATTCT